TTTTTTTTTTTTTTTTTTTTTTTCGATTTTCCATCGGTTCGCCGCCCCGGACGCGAAACCCGCGCTGTTCGATCTCCGTAACGCGCGATACGATACGATAGCGGATTGCCCCCGCACACAACGGACACGCTCGTCCGCGATTCGCGGCGAACAGTGCACACTGCGGACATTGCGTTGTACCGTCCGCCGTCCCGTTTAATGTGCGACGCCGCAGTCGTTTTCAGACCGGGCGTAAATTCCACGCGGACATTCGCCCCGGCCGTACCCCCCCCCCCCCCCCCCCCCNCCCCCTCCCACCCGAACCGTCCCGCGTCGTCTCGGCCGGACGGCCCGTTCCCCGGGCCCCGCGGGCGCGCGTTGTATTCAATAACGCCGCCGGGGCACGCGACGTCCGCGGTATTTGCCAAGTACGTGTTTAAAACGCACGCCCGCGCCAGACGGACTTAATGGCGTCTGTGCGAAAAACGGCCCGTTACGTAGATTTAATTAATACTTAATATTGTTGTACTGTCGCGCGGACAATACAAATACACGCGCACACGCGCATATTTCCGCGGCGGGGCTCTCCGTTTTAATGGTGTCGGGCCGCGCGTACGCGTACCGCCGCCGCCCGTGCGCCCGTCCCCGCGCGCCCGTCCCCGCGCGCCGGAGATCCGCCTACCGTATACGGTCCCTTAACGGCCTCGTAAGACATCGGAAACCGCGCGCGAAAAGTACCGCAGCGCGCTGTGTGTGTGTGTGTGTGTGCGCGCGTGCGTGTAGTGAACGGCGTATACGCTCGTGCGGCACTGCGTTATACGATTGGCACGGGTGCGCACGTTGTCGCGCGTGCGATAACCGGATGATATCCCGGACGAGAAAAGACGGTCGGCGGGTAAAAACCTAACCCGTAAGCAAGCCCGTATCCAGAGAGGGGGGGGGGGTTAGGGGTTAAAAAACCCCCCCCACGAAATTTTTATAATAGGTATATATTTATAATATAACAAAGACTAACTACAAACTCTATGTATAATTGATTTCATTAAAAAAAATTTTAACCCCCCCCACCCCGAAAATTGATCCTGAATACGTGCCTGCCTGTAAGCGGGCGCCGGTCGCGAACGAACGCCGAAACGATTCCGCGACGGTAACGCGGACGCGATATAGACGCTTTACGTTGTTGTTTTTTTTTTTTTGTTTCCGATCGGTAAAGATGTGTGTACCGTTGGGCGATTCAGTAAAACGAACGGATTTTCCGCGGAAAATTTTCTGAAAAAAAAAATTCCTTTATTTTATTTTCGAGTTGTTTGACGTGTTAGAGTCGCAAAACAGTTCCGATCGTTCGTAAACGATTTTTCAACGTACTCTACGGCAGGCCGCCCGGCCGGGCCATCGCGTAAAACGTTTTATGACAATAAACTGATAACACTGTTTATGCGCCAGCAAAGCCGCCGGTGTGATCACGTTTGAAAACGCGTCAATCCGAAAATCAGTTTATGCGAGAAAAACCGGACGCGAAAATCCTAAACGAAATTCACGCCGCCGCCGCCGCGCCGAGCGTCCTCGGCCCACAGCCCCGAGCCATACGCAATATTAACAAGATTGTCGCGCGCAGCGTGACGTTATCCGTTATAAACGCACAAATAAATATGACGGGTACGTGCGTTACCGTGTCGCACAGAGAGGTTCTCGAGCCGGAGCTGATATATTGCGGACGGTCGCACGCGGAGCGCGGACTGGTTAAATAACAATGACATCTGGGAGTGTCTCCGGGAGACATCCGTTCCTTATTTTATTTTTATTTTTTTTTTTCCTTTTTTTGTGCGTCCCACGCTTTTTCCCCCCGCACACTACACTATATTATATGCTTTTCCTTTTCTCCGCGCGGCACCGACGTTTTATTTATACATGTATACACAGTATTACGTTGTGCGTGTGTGCGCTAACAGAGTCCACGGAGATTTACGAGGACAATTTCTCCGAGGGGTGTCGCCCCGTGCCCCGCAACCCTCGAAATAAATAAGGGATCTTTTTCCGCCGACTTGTCCTTTTATAAACTCGGCGCAGCGCGCTTTGTTTCTGTACATACGCATAATAATACGAGTAGTAATAACAATAATAATAATATACAAAATAGCCGTTTCCGCTTTCTGATATATTATGTTGTACGGGTATACGCGCTGCGGCGCGGCGAACAGCGCGCACAATAATAATATTTGTAAATTTCGAGATAAAATGCGAAAAAAAGGCCGGCGCTGCCGACGGGCGTGTCGCTGCATTTTTAGCAGAGATAAGTAGAAAAAAGAGATGGCGTAATAATACGGAGTCGTTCGATTTAAATATTAACGCGGCGATAAACCGTCGCTATAGGGGGGGGGGGGAAACGATTCTGAGCGGAGCGTTATTTGTGGTATTGTTTCCCCGCAAGTTAGGTAACCCTGCACACGTATAGGACAAATTGCCGGTGGTAATCCCGTTTATTGAGAGAGCTATAAGGGAAATCGCGATACCTGCGGACCTCTTCGATTTGATTGTAAAGATTTTCGGGCACAAAAATTAACAATTAAAACAAAAATGTATACATATTTGAAAATTTTGTTCTCGTCCACGCGATAGGTACTATTTAATGTTACACCGATCGGATTAAACGACACGTTAACTAACGATTTTGTTTTGTTTGTTTCTATTTTGTTTTAGGTAAGCTTCGTTACACCGACGATATATTATACGTGTATAAAAATATTATGCAGAAAACGATATTGTCCGACACGTCGTGATGGTAAGTATTGAAAAACCGTCAACACCGCCGCGGGACTTTTGTACAATAATACCATAATAACATTACGGATTTTCTTGGCACTCGTCGTCGCGTTTTCGCGTCGGGATTCGCGAGAATATGTGCGTTCGCATGAATGTGTATGTTCGCGCGTTGTTTTAATGATAATTTCTAAAATATATGGATTATTATATGTGACGCGGATCGAGGGAAACGCGACGACGATCATAATGTGTGCGCGCAATAAAAATAATACGAAAATGGGCGGGTGACGGGAGAAGAATGCAAAAAGTACTACATATACGGAATAAGAAAAAGAAAGGGTGGTGTATAGGGCTAGAAAAAAGCCGTGGGAGTGGGCGGACGGCGGTGCGCGGCGGAAAAATGTCGACATTTATACTCGGGTATACGTATGTGTGTATAATATGTGTGGCCGAGTTCCAAGTGCGTCGGGGCCGGATGAACGATGGCGTCTGCGACGGAATTCGATGTGCATAATCCGAAAAGCCCTTTTAGTGTTATTATTATTATTATTATAGCGAGGAATAATAATAATCGCGAGTCATAATTTTTCAAAAAAAAAAAAAACAAACGCAGTGTAAAAACCAATGTTTTTCCCGTCTGCGTGCACACGAGTCGCAACACAATAATAATATTAATACGGCGATAAACAAAACGAAGCGATTGTCGAAAACGCCATCGTGTCCCATAAAGGGCCATAAAATATATTATTATCGTATTACAGTGAAATAACATTCGCTATATAGTGCAGTACGAGTATATTACAACAGTAATGTATGCGCAAAGTCGTTCGAACACCACCGTGACAAAGAGGACGTCTTTTTTTTTTCTCATAATATTATTGTTTGTTTGATTATTCTGCGATGTTTGATGCGATGCGTATACATTAGTAAACGCCGTCAATACGTCAAAACCGATACGGAAAAATGATAACTTGGCATATGCCGTGCTAACATACTGATACATCGGGATTAGATTCGAAAAAACGATTTTTGTATCATAATTCCACGGTTTGACCGGATTTGTACGCTCTTAAAATCCGCAAAATAAACGCTTTAGAATGAACTGGAAAAAATACTTGAAAATATTTAAAAAGCAAAAAAAAAGAACATATGGGTTCAAAGTCCCCCTTTAAATAATTTAACTATTGTAATTTACACATTTTCTAACACCACAAAAATGATTAATAAAAAGTTATTCCTGTTTTATAGTACGTACGATTTTATTTAAAAGAAATTATTTTCTGTGAATATCACTTTCGTAGTGTCAAGAAGTTTTAATTTAACAAGTTAAAACCATTAGCGGGGGACTTTAGAACTCCTTTATCATTTTGGCTTTTTTAAATGTTTGTAAGTGCTTTTTTCGGAGAATTGTTGACGTTTTAAAGTGCCTTTTTGTGGATTATCAGAGAATATAAAATATCCGGTCCCTAGTTATAATATAGAATTTTAAAGGTTATTTATTTGTTTTTTTTTTTTACTATTTTACTTTATTGAACCGAGAATTTCCAAAAAAAAAAAAAAAAAAAAAAAAAAACGCTACTTCACGTGTTTATAATATTATATTATTATCTATATTTTAAAGATTTTCGAAAGGAGTTAACTTTTAGTGTTTTTATTCTACGTTCAAATAGTTTACTTTTGATTTCTGTCAGCAGATGTGTAAATAACTACGCATTGTTATAACCGTAAAACTAACTCACGGACCTGTTCGAAATCGAATGAGTATCTTTAAAATATCAGCTGTTCTGTATACGCGGTTCTGTCGTTTTATATTATACATTTTTTGTCATCTGCAGTTATCAAACTGTATAATATTATTTGTTTGGATGCTAAAACAATCTTACTTTTTTAATATTAAGAAATAGTATCTAATAATATCCCGTTGAAAACTTTTTATTGCTGTTAAAGTTAAAACGCGCATAACTATAAATTTACAAGTTTTATATGAATATTTCATAATATTTATTATATATTCAAAGAAGTTCCATTGTTTAA